TTCCGACGAGTTAGCCTAGAAATCAGGCTCAGTCCGTAACTGCTCGCATTTTGCACGTTATTTGACTGATTCTTCCACTTTTGCATCTCTCCACTATTGATTCATTGAATTAATACTCCTAAATACTATATTACATAATAATTAAGGAATGAACGTTACTTATTAATTTTTAATAATTAAGGAATGAACGTTACTTATTAATTTAAGTCATTACAGGGGACACGGTAAAAACGAGGAAAGTGGAGCCTGCTCCTGTCATTCATGGAATGGGATTGCAGTGTAAGCGACGGCCGCTCCTCTCTGGGGTTCAGGTCTTTCTCTCATTTTTCGAGAATTAGGTTTTCCTCTCGCATGTCGAGAGCGGTGCAATGCCGCACTTTTGCGAATCAGTTTTTCTTTTGCATTTTGATCGAGTGCAGGTTCGAGAAAGGATAATCATGACTTCTATGGATAATCTATAGCAACGTCGTTACCCCAATGCAGCAATTGAGGAAGAGATTGAAGGGTATGTTTTTGACGGATTAACATGAGTGGAGGTGGTGGGAGTAGTGGAGGTGAGTGACTGAGCAGGGAAGAAGACAGATTAACAGTCTGCCCCCCTCTTGAACCGCTTCATTTTAGTGAACGAGGTGCCAGGGTTTGGAATATGATGTCTCAAGAAAACTGGCATGAAGGAGTTTGAAGTATTTATCAGTTATTTGATTTTGCATGATCTTATTTTTTTACGGTATGTTTGTTTACACTACTCTATTTTTTTGTTGATGTCTTTAGTTTTACGTATACAATAATGATTGGCAATTCTGCTAGATATTATATCATTAGAATGATCTATATGACCAGTGATTGCAGTGTCACATCCATTTGGTGGTTAGTGATTGGTGTTGCTCTTTTATGGGAGATCGTTTCTAAGTCTATTCATAGAGGTAATAGTGTTAGTTGGTTACATATAAATGTTGTCAGTGTTGGTCTCTTTGAGTTTATTGTAACAATCGGAATCCTAATGACATTAGTACAAGTGATTTTTCCTTTTAAAAAAAGTATGCATAGCCACTATAGTGTGAAGCTGAATATAACCATAGTAATGAAAGTATAAAAATTTCATTATTTGGATCATATATTTGTCATTGTTTTTTCAATTATTCATTTTGTTTAGAAGTAAGTGTCATAGAGATTAGAGTTTTAGGCTAAGGCCCTATTGCAGGATTAGACTTGGTAGTCCATCATTCAAAAGAATCAAGTAATCTATTTCCGGATTAAAAAACTTTCAAAAGAGAAAAAAAATACTACTCCCTCCGTCCCAGTATTGTCTTAATGTCTTCATTCTTTTATTTTTCTGTTTGTTCCAATTAAATTCATTTTTCTTTTTTTGATAAAGAATTTATAGTTCACAACATATCATGTCAGCATTTGTCCTCACTTTCTCTCATTCACACAACTTTAAGCAACACATTTATCACTTTCTTAATGCATATACAAAGTCTAAACAGAAGATAATATTGAGAGAAAAAGTATACATAATACAAGTATTATTTTCACTTTTGGTTTATGTGAAAATTCTCATGATGATGAAATGGTGGTTTGTGTGAATCACCATTTCATATGCAGGTTTGTGGGAATAGAGAAGTTCATATGGTGAAAGATTGTTTAGAACAACAATGGGTATTCTGTTTATGAGATATGTGGCATGAAGAAGACATTCACCCCAGTATTTTATTGGAAGTTTAGACTGAAAGTATAGTGCTCTAGCAATCTCAAGAAGATGTTTGTGTTTTCTTTCTACCCTCCCATTTTGTCGAGGGGTATTGACAAGACTGGTTTGGTGTATAATCCCTTTTGAGAATAGAAATTATGGGCATTATTATCTTTAAATTCAATACCATTGTCAGATTTTATGATTTTGACAGTAGTTTTGAATTGATTTTCAATGAAAGTAACAAAACTCTGGAGGAAGGAGAAAGGACAAGATTTAGAGCTTAGTAAATGAGTCCAAGTAGCTCTAGAATAATCATCAACTATGATAATGAAAAATCTGTTACCATTATGAGTACTATTTGCATATGGACCCCACAGATCAACATGAAGTAGTTCAAAAGAAGTGGAAGCTTTATTATTCACTATTACAAAAGGAATCATAGTGTTGTCTTGCCTTTGGACAGATATTACAAATACATTTAGAAGCTGACTGGTATGATACAAATTCTAAATGTATATGTTTCATTCTACAATAAGGCCTATGTCCTAATCTACAATGCCAAAGTTGTAGATGGTCACTTGAAGACAAATGAGCTTGAGTTGTATTGGAAGAGATGAAACTATTGGTGAGGAGATTTGTTGATCTTGTATGCGGAGCAACATAGTACAGACCACCATGTTCTCTACCAAGGAGTTGAGGAGGATTCATCAAATGGTCCTATATGAAACATTGGGTGGGAGTAAAAATGAGATGAGATTGTGGTGTTTTTGTAATTTTGCTGGTACAGATGAGATTAAACTGGAAGTTTGGAACATGTAACACATCCTTAAGTTATGTGAGGTGTGAGTTGAACTGTGCCCATGTGCATGACTGAAACTTTCTGACCATTTGGAATGGTAATGTGACATGCAGTTTTAATTGGCTCATATGTCAAGAAGTGTGAAAGATGTGGTGTGATATGGTCACTAGCACCGCTGTCAAGAATCCAAGTGTTATTACTGCATGAAGAAAGAAAGCAAAATTTACCTGCTAAGAGAGCATCATTGAAATTCTGTGTAGAGGCATCATTATGCTTGCTTAATAGAGATATCATCTGTTGATATAGCTCAGGTGTGATAACTCCAACTTTCTCATCAGAAGCAAACACAGTAGGTTGTGATTCAGAACTCATATCTGATGTAGCTTGAGCATCAAATCTTTTCTCTCTGAAATTCTTCTTCAGTTCTGGATGCAATTTATAACATCTTTCTGCAGAATGTCCTTGCATTTTGCAGTGATCACAGAAATACATCATTCTTTTATTGTAAGCCTGTTGTTTAGCACTTCCAGCATTAATCTTAGCATAATTCTCATTTCTAGAATTTCCAATGCCGAAGTTATATACAGATTTTGTAGAGTTCCCAATGCTATAACCTCTACCAAACGTCTTGTTTGCAGCAAAAGCCATGTTCTCAGAATTCATTTTTCCTTCATCAGAAAATTCTCTTTGTGTCTCATCTTGAGTGATTATGTTATAAGCAATGTCTACATCAGGTAAAGGATCCAACATCAATACATTTCCTCTAGCAGTTTTGTAAACACTGTTCAGGCCCATTAAAAACATCACAAGTCTTTGTTTCTTGATCATCTTTGAAATTTGAGAATTGATATTGCAAGTACATAATCCACATTTGCAACTAGGCATTTGGACAACACAATCATATGCATCCCATAAACCTTTCAACTTGGTATAATATGCAGAAACAGATAAAGAACCTTTTTCCATTCCATTTAACTCTTTCTCTATCTGAAGAATTTTAGGTCCGTTATTCTGACTGAATCTATTATTCAATTCCTTCCAGACATCTTGAGCAGTATTACAGTATAAAACACTGGAAGATATCGATTTCTCACAAGAATTCAATAGCCAAGAAATTACTGTTTTGTCACAACGTTCCCATTGTTTGCCCATCGCGACATCGGATTCAGATTTCTTGCAACTTCCATCAACAAATCCAAGCTTATTTCTGGCTATGAGCAAAATACGAACTGATCTTTCCCAGGCTTCGTAATTCTGTCCGTCTAGCTTTCTTGTGGATAATATGAAACTCGGACGATCACTTTGCCCTAAATAGAGCTCGTGATTGAAATCAATGGTTTTCGTCGTCATTGAAGAGAATTAGGTTTAGAATTGGGAAAGTTCCCGAAATGGGACTAAAAAAGTTTGAAAATTTTAAAATAGGACTGTCACGTTTTTATTTCCAAAATAGGACTAATTACTGCCAAATTTGGAAAATATTGCCATGTTTGAAGTCTGATACTGCCAAAACATGATAGTAATTAGTCTTATTTTGAGAATAAAAATATGGAAGTCCTATTTTGGAATTTTCAAACTTTTTTAGTCCCATTTTGGGTAATACCCCTTTAGAATTTGGTGAAGAAAGTAGTACCATGTGAATCAGATGGATATGGAGATGATAAAACATGAATTCAAGCACTGGATCATACAAGCATACATGAGGAAGAAGAAGATTGGAAATGAACTCATTCAGAAAGTTTTCATTACAAAGAGAAAATGATACTCGTAGTTCTAGTATTGAAGTCAGTATTTATATGTACATGATTTACTCTTATTCAGCTTACAATGTATTGATGTAACGAACTACTAACTATCTGTAACAACTTTTTATCTCTTTAGGGATAAGGGTCAGATAGGGCCTCGAACTTGAAAAAAAAATGTCAAATAAGGCCATATTTAAGATGCTCTATCCGGCCGACGTCATTTGGGGTGGTTCCCGATGGAATTTTTTGATGAAATTTTTTGAGAATCTTATTCATTAAGTCTAGTTTACTCATATCAAATTTGAACTAACAATTCAATCGGGAAGGCATTCAAGTGAATTCATGAAGATAACTGCGCTTTTAACGGTACAATTATCTTCAAGAATTCATTTGAATGCATTCCCGATTAAAGTTTTAGTTCAAATTTGATATGAGTAAACTAGACTTAATGAATAAGATTCTCAAAAAATTTCATCAAAAAATTCTACTGGGAACCACCCCAAATGGCGTCGGCCGGACAGAGCATCTTAAATATGGCCTTATTTGACATTTTTTTTCAAGTTTGAGACCGACCCTTATCTCTTTATTTAACAATACTAACAGTTTGGATATTATTTGAGCTTTAAATGCGAGCAAATCAATACCGGCCCAAAACTGCTTGAAGATGCTCTGCTCTCTATGCAAAAATAATCCAATTTTACAATCCACAAAAAGGTTGTCCCCTCGGCCATTCCATGCGTACGAATTAATCCATCTCCGGTTCCAGCAACGACCTTCTCCCAGCTCCTGGTCATTCTCCCAGCTCCTGGTTCAGCGAAGGGTACTGCATTTCAGTCCCTTACTCATCAAACTTTATCAGTTTAGCTAGGGGTTTATCACTTTATCAGTATATGTATTATCGGTGTCTTGAAATCCCAGTGTATGGATATATTTATCAGATTAAAATGTTGGATTCTATTATCAGATTGGATTTGTCAAAATCCAGTATCCCACTCCAGATCGTGAAATTTCTGAATCTGCGTGGGGAGACTGCCAAGCCAAAGAACTGCTGCTGCATCAGACCTGGGTTTCAGGTACATTTTCTTTTTCTTTTTCCATTTTCTTCATTGTTTGGCCCGGAAACACTGGTGCTCCATCTATTTATTTGGATTTCGTTACTTCATCAATCTGCTAAACGAGCACGGGTTTTTATCCCCTTCCTATTGATTCTCATTCTAATCATTATTTCAAAATCTGGGTTATGCTATTTGACAGAACCGTTCTTGTTCTTGTTTTTCCGGAAAATGTAAAATATCTGCTCACTTGCTCAGTATTTGATGTTGAAGATTACTTGAGTGTTCTTTCTTCTTAAGTTTATTCCTACGAATGTGTAATAAAGAGAATCCCATCCATCCTTCCACAGTGTTCTCTCTTTCTCTCTTGTAATATACGTGCAAATCAGAAACTTACTAAAGTATTTGTTAGTTCATAAAAATAAGACCAACAACAACATTCAAGCCTTAGTTCCAAAAGATTTTGAGGTCGGCTAACATGAATGTACATGATATCGGAGTCAAAAGGAAAACAAAGATAAGAAATATAAAAAGATTAAGGTATGTTAAAAAAGATAAGTTAAGGATATAAAATCAATGTGGTGCATGTATTTGTTAAGGATTGCATATTCTATGTGCAGCTAGTGCGTGTTCATCATCATCATAACCCCAATGCCGCAAAGGCTCCCACACCTTCGGTGGGAGTAATGGAGGTCAGATTTACGCAATCTTACCCCTCTACTAAAGCACAGAGAGATTGTTTCCGGATGACCCATGGTGAAAATCTCGCCGAAAATTGCATGGACTGACTGTTGCTTCGTAACAAAGAAGCGCAGACAGTTTAGTAAGTCATTTTGCTTTATTCCATCATATTCCCAAGCCAAAAAATAGTGAGTCTTTGGCTCCATTGCAAATGATGGAAATGTGCAGCTAATGCGTGTTATCAGTTCAAAATTTTAATACCACTCTAAGACCAAATCTTAATACACGGGCACTAGAAAGGTAAAAGAAAGGATGAGAGAACTATCAATGCAATGAATTAGTACTCGTATTAGATTGTGATATTGGTTATGTCCCTCGGGTGAGTTTAATCCTTTGTTCTGATTTGCTTGATTAGTTAGGTTAATTAATGTTGTCCTATTCTTAGTCTGATATTGATTGATTTAGTTGTTTAAATGGGTAGATTGAGTAAAAGCTATGCCTATTAGTTAGATCTTTTTTGGATTAAAGGATAGATAATTCAAGTATTCAACTGCATATTGCTAACAGGTTTGAATTACTCAAATTAATGTTTTGTTTGTAAGAATAATTGAAACACATTGACTTATTATGGGATCTGGATGGCAAGCGGAATAGTCATGCTTCTTCCTTGAAAGAACTCTTAGTATTCTTTGACTAATTAAATCAGAGTAAGTAAAAAAGAACGAATGACAAGTTAATGTTCTAAAATCATTGTCATCTTACGGTGTTTGAAATTTTTGCTCTTCTATAGTTTTATCTCACAAGGTTTTAAGTCTCATATTCTCATTTTAATTCAAGTCTTATTTTCATGTTTGGCAGAAAACACTTGCACAATTCTATGTTTGTCCTTTTATGTTATTTTCCATTTATTTTGTAGGCAGTAAGCATTTCTCTATAGATCCTACCTTTACTTTTGCACTACACTATTGTTAATTGTGCCCTACTCTATTGTCTATCAGTTTGTGAGTTTGGGAGATGAGTAAGAAATTTGGTGGAGGAAAGACTCCCACAGGAACTCCATCTCTTGCGTGGTCATGTGTTGTAGTTATTGCCTCTTTGCTCACCGGTGCATCTGTTGTTCACAACTACTTTAAACCTGATTTGGTACCTTTCCTTTCACTTATTACTTGTATTTTTCTCAAAGAATATCTAGTGCTCATTGGATTAAAACAATATAATGCTTCTTATTATGTGCTTGTAATGGCTCTTTTCATTGAAAAACTTTGTCTTTGTACTAAATGACTAAATGTGGGTTTTAATATATCATTTCTAAACAATTTGTTTGCTAATTGGACATGCATCCCAACAATATGATAAAATGCTGCTCCAAGACTCCCATTAGTGTATTAACTTGCTATGTGTTAGAGGAATACACACTTTCCGTCTCATCCCTGCTCTAAAATGTTTTCTTATTGGGCTTCGAGGATGAGCCAGCCAGCAAAGCCTCCTCAGATAAAGAGGCATTTGATGCTACTCTCTCGGTTATCTATTGTTCTTGTTTGCGAGTTCGGTCAGGAGAGGCAAAAGAGAGTCCTTTCTTTAAGTGAAAATATGAAGAAAGAGTAGCCTGTCAATCACTCATAGATTCTGATTGTCTCCCACTTATGATTCTGCCATGCCTTTATCATTTGTGTCTGAGTTATGAGCTTTTTGTTTTAAATTTTGTGTATTACTCTGTAAAAAACTGCAGTTGATGTTGAATTTGCAGACTCTTCCACAGTTAGAAAGCAATGACGGGGCTAAGCAAGAAGAAGTGAAGAAGCAATAATTTCCCTCCCACAATAGGGCAGGAGTTGTTGGAAACTCCACCTCAAAATCCAATATAATATACTGGAAAAAAGAAATTGAGTATTTTTTTTGCCTTGTGTATTCTTTGTTGAGGTTATGTCTAAAATATTAGTAAAAAAAAAGTCATGGACAAAGAAGTGAACTTCTTCCTCAATTTCCAAAAATGAGACTAAAAAGAATTTAGGAGACTATTATACCCTTATACTAATATTATTTCACCCATTATTGCTACAGTAACGTCACAGTGACCAATAATATTAAAGTGACCAAAATTCGTCAGTGACCAAATATCAGTAGTGACCAAAAATTCAAATTCCAATAGTGACCAAAAATTCTGCACAGTGACCAATGTTCGCTCGTCCAGTGACAACTAATTGACCTGTACAATTACAATTACCCGACCCGTCTAAAGAAAGTTGCTCGACCCGTTCAGTCACAGTGACCCGACCTGACTCGTCCAGTTACACTTACAATTGCCCGAGTTACAATTACTCAACCCATTCCAGTTACATTTATCCGTCCCACCGGTTATTGTTACCCAATTTTGACTTGTTATCCAATCCAACCTAAGAGTTCGTTACCGGCCATCACCCTGGCCACCTCCGGCAGCCACCGTTGGCGACAACCTCATCCCACCCGTCTGGCTCACCCAACCCCCACCTCACCCAGCCCCCTCCCCAACCTAACCCCATCCGCTGGCCGGACCCCCTACCCTGCCTCACACCAGCCCAGCCCTCCCCCGCCACAGCCAATCACCCAACCTCACCGGCGCAATATCCGCACCTCTCGCCTACCACTGTTCAACCCTAAATAGCCCTAGCCGTTTGAATTAGATCTGGAATGTAGCCATTGCAATCGTCAGCACCTTTCACCCTCGCCTTCACAACTTAGATGGAATCAACGATCTGCGAACGAGATCGAAGAAGAAAGAAGGATAAGATGAATAAGACGAAGAAGAATAACCTAGGTGGCAACGACGGTGAAACTGGATGACAGCGGAGGTGCAACTGGATGACGATGGCGCAAATTGACGGCGGCAAAGATGATTGTGCTCAGAGAGTTAAAAGTTCGATGATGTCGGCTATGGAGCGGAAAAGGGAGTTGAAGGATGGATGCAGAGCTGCCAGGGAGCACCGGAGAAGATGTCGAGCGGAAAAGGAAGGTTAGCCTATTAGTTTAGGGGCATTTAAGTCAGTTTGATACATTTTTGCTCTCTTTTTGGTCCAAACGAATTTTGATCCCATTTGTGTCTTATTAAAAGCTGGAAGTTATATTTTTGACATTCTTTCTTCTGTTTAAGGCTTATGCGTAGTGCTGGACTCGGGCCGGGCGGCCCGGCTCGGTTACTGTTTGGCCCGGCCCGGCCCGGGGCCCGGTGGGTCCACCGGTTCGGTTCGGCCCGGCCCGGATGCTGGGCGGTTCGGGCTCATCCCAGGTTTTGGTGAACCGGCCCGGCCGGTTCGGGCCCGGTCCGGGCCGGATTTTAATTTTTTTTTTTTTTGAAATTTTTTTAAGTTTTAGGTTGGATTAGGTATTTTGGGCCATTTGAGGTGGTTTGGGATGGTTTGGGGTTGAGGGGGAGGGGTAGGGGATTAAATAGGAGAACAAAAAAAAAATTAATTGGGCCGGTTCGGCCCGGCCCGGCCCGGCCCGGCCCGGCCCGGTTTGGCCCGGAACCGGGACCGGAACCGGGACCGGAACCGGCCACCGGCAGTTCGGGCTCGGGCCTCCCTTTCCTGGCCCGAGGCCCGGCCGGGCCCAGGCCCGAACCGGGCCCGAACCGGCCCGAGTCCAACCTGTCACGCCCCAGACCGCAATCCAAGCGCGTGTACAACCGCCGTATAACTAAGTGACGTCACCCACGGGTCAACCTCACTTAATTACACAAGGCGTTCGAGAAAACAATCCATCCATACTCAGTAGTAAACATACATAACAACATCACATTAAACCAATGAATAGCGGAAATATTCAACGGTAAGTCATGGGCCACAACCGGCCGACAACATGGGCATGCAAGCCCCAAAAATAGTTTGTAGTAAAACAATTATCCATGAGCAAGTGTTCGGTAGTTTGAAAGAAAATAAGGAAGCACGAACCACGTCTCCCTGATTTGATATCACCCGTGAGAAGGTGCAAGTAGCAAGCTCTAGCTTCAACCTGAAAATGGTGGGGCCCCCCGAAGGGGTCAGTACAAGTACCGAGCGAGTAGCAGGCTAAATATAGAATAACTAGCGTTTCAAGTATAAGACCCAAACATAGGGTGATACTTAAATAAATAATCTTTCCCCCAAGTTATGAAATACTTATTAGTATATATATACTTGGAAAATATCCGATCCGTAGATCACCATTTTATTCGGGAAAATAGTAATAGTCAATATTCTTGACTAAAAACCCCAACCCACCCATATACCTATGAGTGTATAGGACTCCTCCTTGTCCCTACTTGTATATCACAATCTATGAGTTTTAGGATCATAATCCTTGGATACTCCACCGGTTTGTGAGTGTTAAGGACTCATAAGTCCTAGGGTCCTCCACCAAGTTTGAGTGTTAAGTACTTTTAAGTACTAGGGTCCTCCACCAAGTTTTGAGTGTTAAGTACTTTTAAGTACTAGGGTCCTCCACCAAGTTTGAGTGTTAAGGACTTTAAGTCCTAGGGTCCTCCACCAAGTTTGAGTGTTAAGTACTTTTTAAGTACTAGGGTCCTCCACCAAGTTTGAGTGTTAAGGACTTTAAGTCCTAGGGTCCTCCACCAAGTTTGAGTGTTAAGTACTTTTTAAGTACTAGGGTCCTCCACCAAGTTTGAGTGTTAAGGACTTTAAGTCCTAGGGTCCTCCACCAAGTTTGAGTGTTAAGTACTTTTAAGTACTAGGGTCCTCCACCAAGTTTGAGTGTTAAGTACTTTTTAAGTACTAGGGTCCTCCACCAAGTTTGAGTGTTAAGTACTTCTTAAGTACTAGGGTCCTCCACCAAGTTTTCCTATGATCAACCTCCTATCAACCTAGATAGAGTCTATATCATCCTTAGTTACTCATAACTAATCCAATACATAATTCTTATGTATCACAATCCATGCAAAGCCATGCATTTAAATAAATGTATAATTAACTAACATCAACCGATATTAATTAATCCATCATCCATCGGTCAACGTTGTCGTTGACCGCCAATTCAAGCCTTGTTCATATCAACTTAATCATCATATAATTAAGTCAATAATACTCATTTGAGCTTCTTTTACACTTCAAGCTAATGTGCATTTTATATAATCTCTCATATCATATTTCATGCATAATCAATTAATTCTTTTCATACAACTTGATAATGTTGGCTAATCACATGTTTAAATATCTTTTAAACATCATTATGAAAACATATAACATTTATTTAGGTAATCTCATAATTAACCCAAAAGTTATAAGATATTAAGCCGTCCACTCACCTTGAACTAGCGTATGAAGTTCTACCCTTCTTGGTTGAACTCCGGTGAAACTCCGGCGACTTTTGGTCAACTCCGGCGACAACTCCGGCGACTCTTCCAACTTTGTGAAATCACTTGAAACACCCTTTACAAGTGCCTAACAAGGTTTTATAATCATAAAACCCATATTAATACAAATAACCTCTAAAAGGTCATTTCCCGGTGAACCGGTCGTTTTGGCTTCTAAGTCCGTTCTTGGACTTAGAACCATCTTCCATCCCATAAATCCATACTCATAACATGTGGAACCATACTAGAGGTCCTTCACATGATATATACCTCATATGGTAGGAGAAAATGAAGAAGAAGTTATAATAAGGTCATTACCTTAATTATTCACACTTTTAGCACTTTAGTTCCTTTTCTTGGGATTTCTTCTTGTTGAGCTCTCTTCAACAATGGAGAAGGAAGGTGGAAGCTCTCTTGCTCTTGCTGGATGAGGGATGGCCGAACATTAGGGAGAGAGGGGGATGGGGATGAGCTTTTGTCTCATTAATCCAATGAGTGTAGAATGGGGGTCCACTTTAGGTACCTTTGATGCCATTTCCTTCATATCACAATCCCCTCCCCATACTTCCCTATCCCACCAGCCGGCCAACACTCTCCTTGAGTGTCCAAATTCGTGGGTTGGCCCCCACTCATGTGGGAGGTCAACCCTTTTTGTCCCGAAGTGTACAATCGGTCCCGAAAGTTGTATTTTTCGGACTGTTTTAAATATATTTTATTTTATCGGGTCAAATAAAATATATTATGTGCTCTTACTCATTATGACATGTATAATGAATATACATTCCCCAACTTTAATTTATAAGCCTCCGAAATTCAGTTTGGGCTGTTATCAGTTAAATTACCAGTACCGGTAATTTGGGCTTCTTTTGACGAATCGGTCAACTCTGGGCCTTTCCATGGTCCAAATGAAATATTCACCACTATATATTTATTATCTAGACCAAGATGAATAAAATATATGGTCTCGGGAATGTCGGGCGGCCCCCGCTCCCGGTGTGGGTCCCACGTGCAATTTACTTTTCACGCGAAAGAAATAATAAAAATTTACAACTTCGTAAATTCATTAATCCCTTAGTAAGGTTCAATACATTATTTACATAAAAGTAAATATATTTGGGGACGGTGTTACAAGTTCACCCCCCCTTATTTGGGATTTCGTCCCCGAAATCCAAGTATCTAATCGAAAAGAAATGGGTATTGCTCCCTCATTGAGACCTCGGTCTCCCAAGTTTCTTCTTCGACTCGATCACTTCTCCAAAGAACCTTTACCATAGGAATCTCCTTATTCCTAAGCTTCTTCACTTGTTGACCAACAATCTTCACTGGTCCCACCGCATATTGCAAGTCCTCACGGATCTCTACCGGTGGTTTCTCAAGAATATGAGATGGGTCTCGTATGTATTTCTTGAGCATTGATACATGAAACACGTCATGTATCTTCTCAAGTTCAGGCGTCAACTTGAGACGGTAAGCCACGGCCCCGATCCTTTCAAGGATCTCAAACGGACCAATGTATCGGGGGTTAAGCTTTCCCCTCGATACAAATCGAATGATGCCCTTCCAAGGAGAAATCCTTAGGAAGACCTCATCACCGACTTCGAACTCCAACGGTCTCCGCCGTTTATCAGCATAACTCTTCTGTCGGTCCTGAGCAGCCTTCAATCTATCCCGAATGATCCTTACCTTAGCCTTGGTGATCTCAACCAGCTCTATCCCTTCGAGTTTGGCCTCGCCAACCTCGTCCCAACACAACGGTGTTCTGCATTTTCTCCCGTACAACGCCTCGTATGGAGGCATGCCGATACTTGCTTGATAACTGTTGTTATAAGCAAACTCTACCAGAGCCAAATGCTTGTCCCAGCTTCCTTGGAACTCCAGAGCACATGCCCTAAGCATGTCTTCCAAAATCTGTATCACCCGTTCGGACTGTCCATCCGTCTGTGGGTGAAAAGCTGTGCTAAACTTCAGTTTAGTACCCAACGATGCTTGAAACTTTGGCCAAAATCGGGATGTGAATCGTGGATCCCTATCCGAGACAATGGATATCGGGACTCCATGTAATCTCACAAGTTCCTCCGTGTAGAGCTTGGCCAATCTTTCAAGAGGATAAGTAATGTTGATAGGCAAAAAGTGTGCACTCTTGGTGAGCCTATCAACCACTACCCATACTGCGTCATAGTTATTCACTGTTCGTGGCAGCCCCACCACGAAGTCCATGGTCACGTGCTCCCACTTCCACTCTGGGATGGTGAGTGGCTGCAAAAGCCCTGCCGGGTGTTGATGTTCTGCCTTAACTTGCTGACAAGTAAGACATCGACTCACATACTCGGCGATGTCTCTCTTCATACCTGACCACCAGTAACTTTCCTTCAAATCTCGGTACATCTTAGTACCTCCTGGATGCATAGCATAAGCTGAAGAATGAGCCTCCTCGAGTATAGACTTCTGGAGTTCTTCATTCCTTGGTATGCATACACGATCCTTAAACAATAATAGACCGTCATCGCGTACTCGGAAGTTCTCAACGGGCCCCGCAAGGATCCTTTCACGGATCTTCTGACATTCCTCATCCATGGCCTGACTTCGACTAATCTCGCCCAATAGGGTGGGCCTAACCTCAAATCGAGCAATGAGAGCCCCACACGTGGACACCTCCACGCGTGCCCCCAATGCCTGTAGACACGTGAGTAGCGTCCCTGTCGTATTCTTCCTGCTCAGTGCGTCGGCCACGACATTGGCCTTTCCGGGGTGATAGTCGATGATCAAGTCATAGTCCTTGATCAACTCCATCCATCTTCTCTGCCTCATATTCAACTCTTTCTGAGTGAATACGTACTTCAAGCTCTTATGGTCTGTAAAAATGTGACATGTCTCCCCGTAGAGATAATGCCTCCAGATTTTCAGTGCAAACACTACCGCCCCTAATTCTAGATCATGGGTAGGGTAGTTCACCTCGTGCTTTCTCAATTGCCTTGAAGCATAGGCAATCACTTTACCGTTTTGCATCAGTACACATCCAAGTCCTTGGATGCTAGCATCGCTGTAAATGTCATACCCTATCCCCTGTATGGGTAGGGCAAGGACTGGTGCTTCGGTAAGTCGTTTCTTCAATTCAAGGAACCCTTTCTCACACTTGTCGTCCCATATGAACTTGGCCCCTTTCTTTGTGAGCTTCGTTAATGGAGACGCCAATACAGAAAATTTTTCAACAAATTTACGATAGTATCCTGCTAAGCCAAGGAAACTACGTATCTCTTTCACATTCTTGGGTCTCTCCCAATCCATGATAGCCTTTATCTTGGCGTTATCCACAGCAACGCCCGAACCGGATATGACGTGACCAAGGAACCCAATCTCCTTAAGCCAAAATTCGCATTTAGAGAACTTGGCAAAGAGCTGCTTTTCCCTTAGCCGGTCAAGTATAAGCCTCAAATGATGTTCGTGCTCCTCCTCGCTCTTGGAATATATCAAGATATCATCAATGAATACTATCACAAATTGATCTAAGTATTCACTAAACACACGGTTCATCAAGTCCATGAATGCTGCCGGTGCGTTGGTTAAACCAAATGACATCACAAGGAACTCGTAATGACCATACCTAGTGCGGAATGCACTCTTAGGTATGTCGCTCTCCTTGATCTTCAACTGATGATACCCCGACCTCAAATCAATCTTTGAGAACACTATTGCCCCCCGAAGTTGATCAAACAAGTCATCAATCCTCGGTAAGGGATACCTGTTCTTGATTGTGACCTTGTTCAACTGTCGGTAGTCAATACACATTCTTAGTGTACCATCCTTCTTCTTCACGAAGAGTACGGGTGCCCCCCACGGTGAATGACTGGGTCTGATGAACCCGTTGTCCAGTAATTCTTGTAGTTGGACCTTCAACTCTTGGAGTTCGGCCGGTGCCATTCGATAAGGGGGAATCGAAATGGGTTTGGTTCCCGGCTCCACTTCGATTACAAACTCTATCTCTCTATCGGGTGGGAGCCCCGGTAGGTCTTTGGGAAAGACATCCGGGTATTTGCACACGACCCGTACATCTTTGATGTCGACTTCCTTCTTGGTATCGTCCACTACGTAGGCAAGGTATGCGTGGCATCCCTTCCTCATCATCTTCCGTGCTCTCATCACGGATATTATACAAGCATTAGATTTCCCCCGATCTCCCTCGAAACATAGTGTGTTTCCTTGATCATCCTCGAGCTCTAACACCTTGGTGTAGCAATCTACTCGAGCATGGTGTTTCTCGAGCCAATCCATTCCTAGGATTGCATCGAACTCCAACATGCTTAGAGGTACGAAATCACAAGTCAAAGGTTGACCCGTCACTTCTACCTCGCACGACGGATAGTAATGATTTCTCTCCACGTCGTCTCCTAACGGTGTGGAAACTAGCAATGTTTGCGCCATAGGTGTCAATGGCACGTCAAGGCCCTCGGCGAACGCCTCACTCACAAATGAGCGTTGTGCCCCGGTATCGATGAGGATCCTCGCACACCTACCATTGATCTTTAATGTTCCTACATTTATACACCATGTAAGATACATTTTCTAATGTTTTTACACATTTTTAGGAGGTTATTAGGCTCATACTAATGTTTGGGATCAAACGGGGGTCCAAACGTAGAAGAACGGGGCGAAAAAAATCAAGTTTCGGGTGTTGGGGGTCCACGCACGGCGTGCCTGGGTGGCACGCACGGTCGTGCGTGCTTGAAAAATCCGGAATCCGCCACTGCCGGCTACGCACGATCGTGCGTAGCTGGTCACGCACGATCGTGCGTCCTACGCACGGCGTGCCTTACCTGCACGCACGGCGTGCGTCTGCGCGGAAAACGGCCAGAGGCTACTGCCTCGCACGCACGGTCGTGCGTCTGTAGGTACGCGCGATCGCGCGTAGTTGTTTTTAGCCCGTTTCGCCCCGAATTCGCGGGGTTTGACCCCGGGGTGGCCCGCACCCAAACCCAATGACTCATATGACCCAAATAAGCCTAGAAATATAGGAAAATAAGTGTATTACCTGCAACGGAGTCCGGGTTTGCTCGCGCATCCGCCTCGGTCATTGCGTACACTCGTGCTTGGGTCCCGCCTTGATTTACGGACGCGGCATGACTTGTGGATGCGTTGCCTCTTCCCGTACCGCCGTTTGATGGTCCCGCACGGTTTCTTCCCGTCATGGTTCCTCCTCCGGATCCCGAAGCTCCTCCACCCCCTAATTGTGGGCAATTGGCCTTCATGTGGCCCGTGTTCCCGCATTGATAACACCTTGGGGGTGCATTGCACTTCCCAAAGTGATTTTTCGAACAATTAGCACACCTAGGGGGTCCCGTCTTTTGGGAGGAGGATGCATGCCACCGAGCATCCCTGTTCTTCTTTGCCGGTGGTGCCGGTGTCTTGAACGAACCGCCACCTCCACCGTGCTTATCCTTTCGTGCTTGCTCGGGCGGCCCCGAACTTTGCCATTTCCTCTTTTTCGCCTCCTCGGCGTCTCTCTCTTTTCTCTCATTCCATTGGGCCTCCCCGAGAAGGCCCTGCTCCACCACCTCACTGAAGGTCATGTGGCGCGAGTACGTAGCTCGGTCACGGATGTCCAAGAGTAGGGCATCCCAAAAGTGCTCCGTCATGCGGTTCTCATCAACCGCGTACTCCGGCAAGAACCTAGCCAAGGTTCTAAACTCTTGTTCCAGTTGCTTAACTGTGCCGCCCTCTTTCTGTTTGAGGTTAGTGTACTCTCTCCGTTTCACATTCACCTCGTACTCGGAGTAGTATTGAGCATAGAACTCTAGCTCAAAGTCCGCCCATGTTATTTCCCCATGGTACTTCCCTTCCACGCTCTCCCACCACGTAGAAGCTATCCCTTCAAGTAGCCGTGAAGCGACAGTCAACTTCACGTCCGGTGTGATTTGCATGTCTCTTGATGCATCCTTCACCTTCTTAATCCAATCGGCGGCAACGGTAATGTCACCGGTGCCGTCAAAGGACCTACACCCCAAGGCCCTAGCCTCCTTGAGGTACTTGGAGATTCTCACAACAAAACCTCCCTCACGCCCACCTTGTGACGCCGCTGGGGTGGCCACGGAAGCTCCCCGGCTTCCTTGACCCGAACCACCACGAGAGCCACGCCTCGCTTGGCGCCTAAGGTCTCTCCTCAGTTTCTCCTTTTGATACCACTCAAGTAATTCACCCATCTGGGCGAATCGGGCATCACTCTCATCGTCATCATCGGTGTATGTGTCCCCCCCATCATACGGGGTCTCCTCATGCTCCGTTTCTGGAACGTAGGTTGAGTCATAGTCCTCGGTGTTGGTTTCATACACCGAGCTTACATGGCCATCACTCACAGATTGAGCTTGATGACCTCCACGGCTTCCACGGCCTCCACGGCCTCCTCTCGAACCCCGAGATGCAGCCCGGCTTCCCCTTTGGGATACTACCGGCGCCTGCCCCCTCGGATTGTTCCTGGTCCTCATTCGCCTGCCCTCTATTTCTGAAAGAAATATGGATGAGCCATTAGACTCCTATAAATGTCAACTGACGGAAGAACGTTACAGACACGTATTGGCCCAAGTCACTACCATACCAATTGTTAAGGGTACCGTCTTAACAATTAGAGGCCTTGCAACTTAAGCACCAATAGTCCTATAAACGTCAAAATACAATGCTCATGGTTTTCGGTAAAAACTCTTTTGCAAAATCTTTTGTGAGAGGTTGATTATAATGTTTAGAACTGAGATGGCTCTGATACCACTTAATTGTCACGCCCCAGACCGCAATCCAAGCGCGTGTACAACCGCCGTATAACTAAGTGACGTCACCCACGGGTCAACCTCACTTAATTACACAAGGCGTTCGAGAAAACAATCCATCCATACTCAGTAGTAAACATACATAACAACATCACATTAAACCAATGAATAGCGGAAATATTCAACGGTAAGTCATGGGCCACAACCGGCCGACAACATGGGCATGCAAGCCCCAAAAATAGTTTGTAGTAAAACAATTATCCATGAGCAAGTGTTCGGTAGTTTGAAAGAAAATAAGGAAGCACGAACCACGTCTCCCTGATTTGATATCACCCGTGAGAAGGTGCAAGTAGCAAGCTCTAGCTTCAACCTGAAAATGGTGGGGCCCCCCGAAGGGGTCAGTACAAGTACCGAGCGAGTAGCAGGCTAAATATAGAATAACTAGCGTTTCAAGTATAAGACCCAAACATAGGGTGATACTTAAATAAATAATCTTTCCCCCAAGTTATGAAATACTTATTAGTATATATATACTTGGAAAATATCCGATCCGTAGATCACCATTTTATTCGGGAAAATAGTAATAGTCAATATTCTTGACTAAAAACCCCAACCCACCCATATACCTATGAGTGTATAGGACTCCTCCTTGTCCCTACTTGTATATCACAATCTATGAGTTTTAGGATCATAATCCTTGGATACTCCACCGGTTTGTGAGTGTTAAGGACTCATAAGTCCTAGGGTCCTCCACCAAGTTTGAGTGTTAAGTACTTTTAAGTACTAGGGTCCTCCACCAAGTTTTGAGTGTTAAGTACTTTTAAGTACTAGGGTCCTCCACCAAGTTTGAGTGTTAAGGACTTTAAGTCCTAGGGTCCTCCACCAAGTTTGAGTGTTAAGTACTTTTTAAGTACTAGGGTCCTCCACCAAGTTTGAGTGTTAAGGACTTTAAGTCCTAGGGTCCTCCACCAAGTTTGAGTGTTAAGTACTTTTTAAGTACTAGGGTCCTCCACCAAGTTTGAGTGTTAAGGACTTTAAGTCCTAGGGTCCTCCACCAAGTTTGAGTGTTAAGTACTTTTAAGTACTAGGGTCCTCCACCAAGTTTGAGTGTTAAGTACTTTTTAAGTACTAGGGTCCTCCACCAAGTTTGAGTGTTAAGTACTTCTTAAGTACTAGGGTCCTCCACCAAGTTTTCCTATGATCAACCTCCTATCAACCTAGATAGAGTCTATATCATCCTTAGTTACTCATAACTAATCCAATACATAATTCTTATGTATCACAATCCATGCAAAGCCATGCATTTAAATAAATGTATAATTAACTAACATCAACCGATATTAATTAATCCATCATCCATCGGTCAACGTTGTCGTTGACCGCCAATTCAAGCCTTGTTCATATCAACTTAATCATCATATAATTAAGTCAATAATACTCATTTGAGCTTCTTTTACACTTCAAGCTAATGTGCATTTTATATAATCTCTCATATCATATTTCATGCATAATCAATTAATTCTTTTCATACAACTTGATAATGTTGGCTAATCACATGTTTAAATATCTTTTAAACATCATTATGAAAACATATAACATTTATTTAGGTAATCTCATAATTAACCCAAAAGTTATAAGATATTAAGCCGTCCACTCACCTTGAACTAGCGTATGAAGTTCTACCCTTCTTGGTTGAACTCCGGTGAAACTCCGGCGACTTTTGGTCAACTCCGGCGACAACTCCGGCGACTTTTCCAACTTTGTGAAATCACTTGAAACACCCTTTACAAGTGCCTAACAAGGTTTTATAATCATAAAACCCATATTAATACAAATAACCTCTAAAAGGTCATTTCCCGGTGAACCGGTCGTTTTGGCTTCTAAGTCCGTTCTTGGACTTAGAACCATCTTCCATCCCATAAATCCATACTCATAACATGTGGAACCATACTAGAGGTCCTTCACATGATATATACCTCATATGGTAGGAGAAAATGAAGAAGAAGTTATAATAAGGTCATTACCTTAATTATTCACACTTTTAGCACTTTAGTTCCTTTTCTTGGGATTTCTTCTTGTTGAGCTCTCTTCAACAATGGAGAAGGAAGGTGGAAGCTCTCTTGCTCTTGCTGGATGAGGGATGGCCGAACATTAGGGAGAGAGGGGGATGGGGATGAGCTTTTGTCTCATTAATCCAATGAGTGTAGAATGGGGGTCCACTTTAGGTACCTTTGATGCCATTTCCTTCATATCACAATCCCCTCCCCATACTTCCCTATCCCACCAGCCGGCCAACACTCTCCTTGAGTGTCCAAATTCGTGGGTTGGCCCCCACTCATGTGGGAGGTCAACCCTTTTTGTCCCGAAGTGTACAATCGGTCCCGAAAGTTGTATTTTTCGGACTGTTTTAAATATATTTTATTTTATCGGGTCAAATAAAATATATTATGTGCTCTTACTCATTATGACATGTATAATGAATATACATTCCCCAACTTTAATTTATAAGCCTCCGAAATTCAGTTCGGGCTGTTATCAGTTAAATTACCAGTACCGGTAATTTGGGCTTCTTTTGACGAATCGGTCAACTCTGGGCCTTTCCATGGTCCAAATGAAATATCCACCACTATATATTTATTATCTAGACCAAGATGAATAAAATATATGGTCTCGGGAATGTCGGGCGGCCCCCGCTCCCGGTGTGGGTCCCACGTGCAATTTACTTTTCACGCGAAAGAAATAATAAAAATTTACAACTTCGTAAATTCATTAATCCCTTAGTAAGGTTCAATACATTATTTACATAAAAGTAAATATATTTGGGGACGGTGTTACACAACCCTACTTATGCGTGCTATGCATGGGATTCTAATATATTTGTATTTTATCTAATTATATAAAAGTAATGATAAAGATAAGCTTACTTTGAATGTGAGTGAGTATTAGGTAAAAAAAAAGACCTGATGATCAAATTCCAGAGATATGTGTTATGTGCAAACATATTATGTACATGAACATAAAATTAGGAGTAAACAAAAAACTGAAGAATCGGAACCGATCAACAATCTAATCCAAATTGAAATGATCAAAATTTAATCCTATGAAATTGAAACAACCAAAATTAATTAAATCTTCGGCGGTTTGTCTTACTGTTTGTGCTTTTAAATTTAGGAAAAATTGATTGTAATAATCCCAACTATTGGCAGTCCGCTTATAATAATCTCAACTATCGATTATTTCAGAATAATCCCAACTTTAGGGACCTTCCGCCAATAATGATCCTTGTAAAAAATTCATGTAGTTTCTAAAGTGGATGAGAAGAGATATAGCAAGTCATCCCTATAAATAATCTCAACATTTAATTTTTACGCTTAATTTCTATTTAAAATTCACTTGTTATACGAGATAATATTTGGTCATGGACCATTATTGGCGGACGGTCCATATAGTTGGGATTATACAAAAATAATCAATAGTTGGGATTATTGTTAACAAACTGACAATAGTTGGGATTATTATTTTCAATTTTTCCTTAAATTTAAAAAAACAACATAACAGATTAAAATTGACGTAATGTGTTAAAGCCGATCGAATTTGACACAAATCAGTTGAGATTAAATGAATTGAAACTCATTTAAAATTCAAAATGATAAAACTAAAATTGTTGAAATCGATATTTTAAGTGAATAAAAAGCACAATCTATAGCCTAGGATTTGCTTGTGTGTGAACAAGAGTTTTTTTTGAATAATTTGTTTGTGTGTGACGAGAGTTTTATTATCTAGCAGTATAGGGTTACCTGAGAAATCTCGTTTCTCTACGTTGGAGACTTGGATCAATTGCTCCTTGCGAAACATGGCATTACAAGATGAGGGCATGGAGACTATGTACGCTCGGATGTCACTGGAAGATGAGGATGAAGCTGGTGTGGATGTGGGAAAAGCAGTAGTAGAGAAGAATCAGGTTACTTCTTCATTCTTTGAGGTGGGTCGTATCTTTTCAGAGAGGCCGGTGCAGTTTTTTTTTTCGAGACTCAAAAGCAGATATATGGAAGCCTGGTGGAGCCGTGGAGGAGTTATGTATGAGATTTGGGGGAGAACCATTTCTTGTTTCAGTTTTGTCATGAAGTGGATGTTTCACGAATTATTGATACCGGTCCTTGGTCTTGTGTTAACAAACCTTTTGATTCTTCGAACACTGAATTCATGTCATGTGAGAATCCACTATCAGTTACCCTCACACATGAGTTGTTTTGAATTCGAGTATTCGATCTTCCCATTGAGTATTTTACGAAGAAGATGGCAAAACTTATTGGCAATTGGATTGATCATTGTACAAGCAGATCAAAACAACTTCAAGGGAGGATGGATGAAATTTATGAGGATTAGAGTGTGGTTGGATGTTCAACAACCTTTAGAAAGCAACATGAAATTAACGGGGGACGAACAACTTGTGGGTGGAGTTGCTTCATTTGTTGTAGGATGGGATATGTAGATCGGCATTGCCCGAAGTGGTGTAAAGGTATTCATTGGAAAAAGATATCATTTGGAGTGTGGCTCAAAGCTGGGGCATGGGCTCATAGGAATGATGAATTAAGGACCCCGGGGAGGGGGTGAGAAGGCTAACACCATGTTTTCTACAATGCAGGAGGGATGGACATGCTGATAAGGTTGCTCCTGGAAGTGAGGGTACGATATTGTAAGGATAGTAGGAGGGAGGAGGGGTGTGGTAGTTTGGACAGAGGGGAAGATTTGGTGGGTAGTGGGGGAGTTAAAAATGGAAGGCAAATGAAAGGGAAGGTGATGGGAATGGGATGGGAGAGGGCAACGAGGAGAGCAGAAAGATAATTGTATCAAAAACGGATTAGAGACAGATTCTAGTTCACAAGTCGTAGTTGCCTGTCCGGGAGGGGGGGGGGGGGGGGGGGGTTGACAACCCATTGGTAAGTATATAGAGATCTAGATTTTACCAAGTCGATAAAGGCATGTCATCCCATTTTAATCCAGTAAATATATTGAAACTTAGAATGTTTTTATTTGGACTGAAATTTATTGATCTGGTCTAATCTGATATGTTTAAGTTTGGTCTAGTCTAGTCTGAACTCATCTGGTCTGATTTTGTAAATGTCTGGTCTCTGTACTTTTATAATTGTGGAAGTCTGGTCTGACATGTTTAAATCTGGTCCAGTCTGCTCTGTTCAGGTCATTGTGAACATTGTATTGGCGTTGACCATCTCACTCCTCCATACGCTTGGTAGCTTATGGGCTCAATTTGAATGGAATAGACTGACCCATTATATTCATAAAGCCCATTGAAACCAAGAGCTGGTGAATTGAACTCCTTAACAGATCAGATTAAATAAATAAATATTCCTACTTGTTCAATAACTTCAAATTCACAATCCTCTTTATATTTCCATGTGAGACTCAATTCATACATAATTTCATTCTATGAAATTATTTAAATGTGAGTGCTATGGACTATGGTATGACGATATGGGATCTACAACGCATTTCATTGATTCATGTCATTATTTCATTATATATTTATTAGGGAAAACTGTCAAATAGGTCCTCAAACTTTTATAAAAAAGTCAATTAAGTCCTTCTATAGGAGATTCATGTCATTATTTCAATATATATTTATAAATTACTCAACTGCTTTATTGTAATTGTTAGGGAATTAGAGAGTATAGATAAATGATAAGGTTCAATAAAATTTGCCTTATTTAAAACATTATTTGATATCAAGGAACCCTATTCTAGTTCTAGATTAATCTAGATCTACAAAGAGAAGAATAACTTTTGCAATAGATTCTTTTATTGTGTGTTGAAGTGTTGAGATCAGAATTGAGCCCCTTCAAAAGTTTGACCAAATTGCCAGTTTGAGGGTACCACGTCATTGCTGACGACCGTCTTTCCGTCACTAGTTGTGACTTGGAATGAAAGGCTTTGACCGGTCAAAACGGTATTGGTTTGCCAGTTTTGGCCCCAATTTCTTGACATTGGTATCCACTCAGTTTTTGATCCTTTAACGGACACTGCATGAACGTCTCCGGCACCACCAACGTTACTCACTAAAATCAAGTTGAAGTAAGTGTTTCCTTTCATCGTGAATTTTATCCCTCCTTTCTTGATGCAAGAAACCCTACACAGATCCAACGTGTAACTCATTAGCAAGTACGTAGTACATATTTATTTTTATCTACAAAGTAAATAAGTTCATTTTATAATTTTGAATTATACACAAATTAAGCGATATTCTACTAAAATAACTCAGCTCCACATTCATATTCAAACAGATGCCCTCTAAATAGGACCCGAACCGATCGATGTAGATAGTATCTAATGTAGTATTTTTTAAAATTACTCTAAAGGCTGGTTTGCAACTGCTTAAAAAAGCACTTCTCGGTTTTTGGTTTAAAAAAGTATTTATTTACCAAACACTACTAGTTTTTACTTTTCTCGACTTTCGTGTGAAAAATGTTTTTCTCTTTTCTATTACACAAAAAACACTTATTTGAGGGACACATGCTATTCTTGTTCGCTAAGGAGCTGATTCTTTTAAAAATCTCTATTATTAATAAAAGTTATGCGCACACACGCACACATATCACACACATATCAAATGAATGTGGTAGGTGGCTACAATACGGTAATAGGGTTTGATAATACTCCCTCCGTCCCATTTTAGCTGTCCTATTTTCTTTTTTGGGTTGTCCCTAAATAAGTGTCTCCTTTCCTTTTTGAGAAAGAAATATGTGGTCTACACCATTTCATTCTATTATACTCAAACCTCAACCACAACTTTTACTTTTTCAACCACTTCATTAATAACTGTGCCAAGTCAAATTAAGACTCATGAAATGGGACGAAGATAGTAACTTTTTTAGAGTATAAGATACGTGCCCGAGGCATGTCAAGGTTTCACTTACCTCTTCTAGAGGTTCATTTTTAAAGTTATAACTTTCATTTTTGAAACAATTAACTCTCTTAAAAGATAATCACCACATATTAAAGTAATATTAGAATTGTCATCAACTACTTCATCATAACACATAGACACTCAAACTATTTCTCTAAGGTGTAATCAATTTGCTTTAAATATTAAGAACCCGTTTGGTGATATACTCAAATGGGTTGCATCACTTGCATGTATTGGCTGATTGTGCTAAAATTGATGAAGTTTGGTTGAAGTGACTGTATTTGCTGATTTATGAAAAAAAAAAATTACAATATATTCTATTAATAAAATAAACAATTTTATTAAAAAATAGTAAAATGATCATCTATAGTACCTTCAGAAATACAGTCCCAAAAGTAACTCCAACCTTACCTCTTTGATCTTATTATTACACAATTCAGCACACAAAATCACAACTTACATGTTTGGTGAAAAAGTTGACTGATAAACTTGATAAGCCGAAAAAGATCACTAAACGGGGTTTTAGTTATTGCCTGCGATAACAAATTAGTCACTATGACAAGTTATGAATGGATTTACCTTCGATAAGAAACAGGGACAATTCCGGCCTTGTAAATGGCAATTTTTAAGTAGGCAGGCTCGGACATGTCGAAGTGTAGGCGGGGAGGGTTGCACCAGCCGCCGTTGTCGCTGGGCAAGCTCATGTTTGGTGGGCACAGGTCGGTGGCGGTGATTGTGATGCTTCCCGGCACGCAGTTCGGACCGGTGCACGTGATCTCGTAGCATGAGCCGCATGCCAACCCACCATTGAAAAGAGCAGTACTTAGCGCTGCAATGTCCGTACCATACCCTGTCTTGAACAAGTCGCCATATCCACAAGCTCCGCCTGCATCCAGTTCTTCTCAAACTTAGCATGCAACTTAATTCTCCTTTACTTATTAGTTATTTATTTATAAAAGAAACTGCTTCACATAAGTTTAAAACATAAAGAAAGTGTTTAAACAGATGCAATTATGTTTATTAGTAATTACTCTAAATTGGATTAAAAGTTAATCAAGTGCATAAATAGGATGATATATGTTTATTTATCTAAACATGACTTATGTAAACTTATCGAGAGAATAAAACTTCCTTGATCAAAAGTCTGTGATTCTTATTTTAGGAAGTTGAAGGAAACAATGAGGATAATGAGGATCCTATTTGTACACTTTGTCAATATTTAGTTTCATTTAAGTAATTTAGAAACAAAATAAGACTTATTTGTTTATATTAAAAATATAAATTTCACCATTCATGAGTTTTGGAACCGAATTTCTGAATGAAAACAATGAAATTATGTACATAATTTTATACATTGTTCACGTTTTAATCCTATAGCGTTTTGAAAGAATGTGAGGCCATTTATCATTCTCGAGAAAGTCATTTGCCACCAAGACCGCGCGTGTCATTAGAAAACGACTTGCCATTCTAAATTGGGCCTTTAAGGCCCAATAAAAAAATATACTAACAATTTTTTTAAAAAAATCAATTAGTTAAAAAATTCTACCCAAACTGAAAATTATGGTTCGTTTCAATCATAAAAACAAAAGACGCCAATTCAAATTATTTATTATTACAAACAGCACAAGTAAGGGCAATATCAAATTAATAATTCCTCTACATTTTGTCAAATTTCCTTTTCTGGTTACCCGAAATATTTTGCCATTTTCTTATTAAAGTAATTAGTTTGTGATTCTGATCAATTTTCTCTTCTCATCACAAATCTCAATCACACAATTTCTACTTTTCTTATTTCTCATTTTCTTTGAACTTGACAAAGTCCACCGGGAAAGAGGTAATAATATGGAAGTTTTTACTTAGACTTATCGACTCAGATCAGATTATACTAGATCAAACCTATTCAGACAAAATCAGATCAAAGTAGACCAGACTTCGATAGTGATAAAATACACAAAGACTAGTTAACTTTTAGACCACTCAATTCCAAACCAGACTAGATCATACCAGTGCAAAGCAAAAATTTTTAGCCAATTAAAAGCATTCTATATACTCAAACAAATTTTCAAAGGGCAGTGCTTTAAACCATAATAACAAAATAAAATCCAAATTAAATTCATTTTATATGAAGAAATCTGCCTCCCATGAAGCTCCAAATCACAGAGTGGGAAAGATTTCCAAATCACGATTATTCACGATTCAATGTTTTATAAGGGATAGATCAGTGCATTGGCGGATGGAAATTGGGTGTTCAAAAAAATTCATAATTAAAATATTGCACAATAATGTTCTTTTGATCTCACAATTGAAGAAATGTAATTTTTTTCAACAACAAAAAATTGGCAAAAAGGATTAAGGGTAACAAATATTGTATAAAAATACACTAAATAAATTACTATATCAATTCTATACATCTATTTTTACATTTTATTTGCAAAGCACGTCCGCCACTGGATTAGTGTTTCGTATCCTAAGGAACAACATAGTGGATAGACTAGTTTCAATTCCAGATCATAGCATATCAGATTAAATATGACAATTGTAAAATACCTAGAGCTAGAATATACATTTTCACGCAAAAAAAGGTTAAACCATATCAAATCAAACTAGATGCGAAAATTTCAATGCCATAAAAACATAGGTGTAGTTACTAGTTAGTTTCAAATTTCATTAGAAAAAAATCCTTAGCACGTGGCAATTGCATATAAGTAGATTCTATGGCACCCATGTGTTATAAGGTACCATACCTTTGTCTATATGGACCAATCAAAATGTTGTATTTGAATTATTTAAGTCTAAATAAAAAATGATATACCATTTGGACCAATCAAGTGAATGGTTGGTACGATACCCCAATTTTTAAATAGGTACTGGAGTTCTCACCTTGCATATATCACATTCG